AATAATTGACTCTACGTGTTCTGATCATGTGACTTTTGATGTTAGACAGATTAAAAATCTTAAACCTTCCTCACAAAAAAGTATTTTCATAGTCAATGATACTAAATCCACTATCATTGGAGAAGAAACTGTCTCTATTTCAAACAATTTGAACCTTGATACTGTCCTTGTTGTTCCTTCTCTTAAATATAACCTATTGTCAGTCTCGCAAATAACCAAAACTCTTTTATGTGTTGTAATTTTTGGGCCTAACTCTTGTGTTTTTAAGGACATTCAAATGAGGAAGACAATTGGTTGTGGTATTAGGTGAGGAATGTTGTATTACCTGAACCTGACAGAAAAAGATTCAAAGAGACTTGGTCAAGTGCTAACAACAAAAGGGTCTCAAGAAGTAAAAAAAGACAAGGATATTTGGTTATGAGATAAGCGTCTAGGACATGCATCTTTTGGTTACATAAAGAAATTATTTCCAAATGTATTTGACCAAGTAGACACTTGAACTTTTTATTGTGATGTTTGTGAGCTTGCAAAGAGTCACAGAACATATTTTCCTTTAATTTCAAATAAAAGTTCTCTTCCTTTTATGATCATTCACTTTGATATATGGGGTCCATCTAAGGTTACAACGTTGGGTGGCTTAACATGGTTTATAACGTTTATTGATGATTGTAATCAAATGACTTGATTATGTTTGATGAAGTCTAAAAGTGAAGTTGGAGGACTATTTTAGAAATTCTGCAAAATGATTAAGACCCAGTACAAAGCACAAGTTTAGGTATTGCGCAGTGACAACAGAGGAGAATATATGCAATCAGAACTTCAACATTTTTTAGTAGCTAAAGGAATTGTTCATCAGAGATCTTGTCCAAATACTCCACAATAGACCGAGATGGCATAACGAAAGAACTGTCATCTATTGGATCTGCACTGATTGGAGCTCACATGCCAGCAATATATAAGGGAGAAGCTCTCACATATGTAGTATACACTATCAACCGAACACCGTCAAGGTCTGTTGAGTATAAAACACCTCTTCAATCACTTACAGATGTTGTAGTAAGTCATAAAATTACTGAACTAACACATAGAGTTTTTGGTTGTGTTGCTTATGTTCACTTACACAAGCATCGGAGAAGTAAGTTGTCTTCTAGAGTTGAAAGGTGTGTGTTCCTTGGCTATACGGATCACCAGAAAGGATATCAGTGCTACAATCCACAAACCAAGCAAATGTTTACTACTATAAATGTAGTTTTTCATGAAATCTTGATATATTTTTCCCCCGAGTCTGAAATTCAGGGGGAGAATTATGATGAAGTTCAGACTTTTGTTCCTCAAGAAATTGATATTGAGGTCAGATTGGAGAAAAAAAGTTACAAAGTTGTATTAGGAGATGATGAAAGTGTGCAATAATGTAATGATCAACAACCATATAATGAGGAAGATTTTGAGCATGTCGAGATCGAAAATTTGCCTGTTGATGCTGATGATATACCACATCAATCGTCCCCTCAAAAACCTAATATAAAAAAAGAATTTTGCCAGATCGTGTCACTAGAGGTATCTCTAAGTCTACTTATGATCCTGACCTCACCAGTAAAACAAGATACCCTATGAGTAATTATATTTGTAACCAGAATTTGTCTAACTCAAATATCGCATTTGTAAGTCAATTATCTACTGTATCTATTCCTAACAGTGTGCAGGAAGCTTTAGTTGACTCCAAGTGGAAGAATGCTATGAATGATGAGATGAGATCCTTGCAAAGAAATAAAACATGAGAATTGTTAAATTGTCCAGTTGGAAAGAAATCAGTAGGATGTTGATGGGTGTATACTGTGAAATTTAATGCAGATGGCACAATTGAGAAATTCAAAGCTAGATTAATGGAAAAGGGGTACACAAGCATATGGAATAGATTACACTGAAACATTTATTGTCGTAGCCAAAATTATTACAGTTCGAGTATTGTTATCTCTAGCTATAAACCTTGATTGGTCCTTACAACAATTTGACGTAAAAAATGTCTTATTATATGGAGAATTGTCTGAAAAAGTTTATATGGAGCTTCAGAAGGATATGAGATCCCGAATACACATAACAAGAAGGTATGCAAGTTGAAGAAGTCATTGTATGGACTAAAACAATCGCCACGAGCATGGTTTGGTAGATTCACCAAGTCAATGCTTGCTTTTGGATATCAACAAAGCAACCAAGATCATACCTTGTTTCTAAAGAAAAAGGAAGGAAAGATTACAATTCTTATTGTCTATGTTGATGACATGATAGTTACGGGAAACGATCTAGAGGAACGCAAGACATTGAAAAAGTACTTGACAAAGATGAAAGATCGTGGTCCTTTGAAGTATTTTCTTGGAATTGAGGTCTCAAGATCAAAATTAGGTATTTTTCTCTCACAACGAAAGTATGCATTAGATTTACTGAAAGAAACTAGAATGACAGTATGCAAACCAACAAATTCTCCAATTGAAAGGGGATTGAAGTTGTGCATTGAAGAAAATCAAACTCCAACTAAAAAGGGAAGATATCAGATACTTGTAGGGAGATTGATGTATCTCTCACACACTAGGTCAGATTTAACTTATGTTCTTAGTGTGGTTAGCCAGTTCATACACAATCTAGGTGAAAAACACATGGATGTTGTTATACGGATTTTAAGGTACATAAAAGTTGCTCTTGGAAAAGGAGTTATGTTCAAGAAGAACTCCAACTACAAGGATGTGATGGTTTATACTGATGCAGATTGGGCAAGTGCTCTTGATGATAGAAGATCAGTCTCTGGATACTTTACATTTGTAGGAGGTAATCTTGTCACATGGAAAAGCAAGAAGCAGAAAGTTGTAGCTAGATCTAGTACAGAAGCTGAACTTAGAGGAATGGTTCTTGGACTTTGTGAAGATTTGTGGCTCAGACTACTTCTCCAGGATTTAAGGTATGCACATACACGTCCAATTTAGTTGTATTGTGATAATAAAGTTGCGTGTGACATTGCTCACAACCCTATCCAACATGATCGGATGAAGCATGTGGAGGTTGATAGATTTTTCATCAAGGAAAAGCTTGATAAAAATATTCTGGAATTGTCAAATATTCGATTTAAAGATCAATTGGCAGACATTCTTACCAAAGCTGTGACAAGTCATATTTTTAGGAGATTATTGGACAAGTTGGAAATGTATGACATCCATTTACCAACTTGAGGGGGAGTGTTGGGATAAAGATATTTGATTAGCTAAATTATAGGTTTGTATAACGGTACAAAATATTATATAATCATAACTTCCTTTATTTAGTCCTGATTTGTTGGAGTAAAATACTATAAGATCATAGTATCTGTGTATAAAAATAATATGAATACAATTATAGAATGTATTCTATGTTTTTCAATTTATAGTATATGAATAAAATATATATCCATATAAGATATCAGAAATACACATACACAAATCCCTAAAAATTTCTATCAAGTCAACTTGGAATAGCGGTTAAGAAATGATAGAGTTGTAATATGAAGGTATTCTAATGTATTAGTGTGACATTTATGTTTGTAGACTTAATGAGATTTCCGTTTATTATATATTGATCGATAGACTAATGACTAAGTAGTAAGGAACAATAGGTTCATAATAGTATTCCTGGCTACGAGAGATATGTCAGAACTTACAATGTGTCAATAGAGAATCTCTTGCAATATTGATTACAATGTGATTTATCAATATTGATATTTGAATTTGAAACATTATTAAGATGTTTAGATAGGTGAGGTTAGTAATATAATAAAAGTGATGTATGTGAGATGGTGAATACTAACAGAATGAGACGTGTGAATGTATTATGTAAATTGATATAAAGTTATTATATTTAAATATTTACTCGAGACTCATATGATCATCTTATTTACTAGAGAGCATATATTGATGAAAATGAAGAAAATGACTGATACCATAGATAATCCATGACATAAAATAGTGTTTATATGTTATAAATCTTGTATGTTATATATCTATTTATTTTGATTTTTAAATTAATAGGAATCATTTTGTATAAAATATAATGTTATGTATGTGGTATAATTATGACCAATGCAAATTTATTTTTGAACACATTGAATTATGATAATAATGAATTCTTGACTCGTTACACCTACCCTTTATGGAACAAAATTTCATGGAGACCTGGTTTAAAGAATGTATAAATCACACTTTACAATAATGTAATTTAGTGTTATTTAGGTATAAACGATCAAGTTCTTTACAAAATATGGCATTGCAACGTATAAATCACATCAATTGGTAAGAAAAATTATTAACAATAGCCTAATTGGATCTCTGCTGGCACAATACTAATTGCATTTGGTTTGACTGAAACATTGCTTCCGCTTTTAGGTTCTATGAACTGAAAGACACTAATTGATTCTATACACCTAAGTTTAGGGGGCTGCTAGACTGTATTGCACCTATCGGTAGTCTCTGGTATGTTTCTATACACCTGCTATAACTGTTTTAGTGTAGTTTGAGTCCATTACAGTTTAAGTATTATAAACCAGTTACAAATTATGTTAGAACAGAGCAACCAGAAACTATAAATTCTTACACCTCTCAAAGGGTTCAATAACATTCGAAAATATAACCATAGTCATTCTGTTGATTGCAACAAAAAATTATACAACTTGTTCAGTACACAAAGACAGAAGAAAGATAAGGCGAGTGATACAAGGAAGAGAAGAAATTCAAGCAGTTTTAACAAACTTGTGGGATACGTCCAGCTACAATTCAAGCAGTTTTAACAAACAAGGGAATCAGCGAAGCTCGATCAAGAAGAAATTCTAACATTAGAAGTATACTCACACTCAGAGAACTGTCTCAGTTTATTTCGAAATTACGTTTTTCAACAAAGCATTGTTGTTTCTGCAATTTTTCAGCAAAACAATTCACTTAGAAGATGAAAATTCCCCATAAAAATCTTACAATTGTACAAACCACCTATGTAGAAAACCTTTCTCTGTCATGAGGAGCATAATAATCAATATTTGGCCCCACTGGAACAATACCCAATGGATTGATAGAAGGATGGCTTCCATAGTAATGCAACTTTATATGTTCCATGTTGACTGTGGAACTAATGCCAGGAATTTGGAAAATGTCTTTAGTGTAATTGAAAAGATTTGGGTATTCACGCAGCAGCTTCTTGTTGCACTTGAAGTGAACTGCATAAACCTACAATTATAACAAAGATCAATTACTCAGCAGTCAGATTTCAGAAAATTGGAATGGATAGATTCCAAAATGAGCCCCAAAATAGGAAAGCAGAAGAGTATACGCGTTACATCGATTTCTAAATTGAGAATAAAGTAGAAATCTGAGAAATTTACATTTTTGCAACATTTTTAGCCATATAAAACAATGAGCTAACAGAGATGAATTTTTTTTCGTTAGTCTAATTCAGAGTAAAGTACAACACCAAAAACAATGAACTATTCTGAACTGTGGAATTTCTTTTTTCTTCCTTTATGTTTACCCCATTCGATTTGTATTTTTGTTATTTTTTGATATTTGGGAATGCTGCAAATGATTGATATAACTTGAAGTGTCAACATAATGGAATTGCAAGTTATATAGTAATGTTTTTCCACACCTTTGCTTTAAAAAAGAACTGAAATTGCATTGCAGACACGAGAAAAAAAATGAGAATGTTGAGAAGAAAACAATCTAAAGAAGGTGCTCTCCAAGCTCAGACAAAAGGGTTAGGAAGACGGACAAACAACAATGAGAAGAAGAGTGACAGAGCTGACAATGACAGCAAAAACAAAAATAGGGACAATATTTATCAATAGTGTCCATACTTTTTATGATGCTACAAAATGAGGAATGACCCACAACGAATGCGTTGGTGGAGACCTAATGTTAAGTGTGGAAACGGTGGTAAGCTTGGACGCATACAGAATTTAATAGTTCTAGTGATTCATTGATGATTTACACTAGCTGAACAAACTACATGACCAACGACCAAAATCTCTTTACAGGTTCGAAAAACTATTGTGTCCAAAAGTAAAAATTGGAAGTGGTGATTTATTTAAATCAAGAGCAAATGAACTGTGGCTGTAGAAAGCTTAACAAATTTGTATATTTCTGATTCTTTATATGTACTTGACATTGCCCAAAACCTTCTTAGCGTTGGAAAGCTGATTGAAAAAGGTTCTACTGTGATATCTGAAAACAAATGGTAATGGTGGTTAATCAAATATAAAAATGGTATAGATATATTCAAAGTCAAAATGAGAGTAAAAAGCTTTGCTCTAAACCTAATGGAGGAAGAACAAAGAGCACTTTCAAGCATTGTAAGCAATGCAAAATTATGACACAAAAGCCTAGAGCTTACACTCATGTTGGGCTTTGGATATACAGAAACATAATTTAGTAAAAGGTGTATCATTGCTCGAAGACAAGCTAGCTGATTGTGTGACCTGTCAATAAGGCAAGCTAGAAGAGCATTCCCTAAAACAGCATAGAGAGCAATGCACAACCTGCAGCTGGTACACATGAATGTTGGAGAACCTCAAATAACATCATCTTTTAAATACACTGATGGAGAAACCAAAATAGTTGTAGGCTGCAAACAATAAGGTCAGATAATGGGATAAAATATACCAGTGACACTTTTGACAAATTTTGTGAAGAAGAGGGTATTACACCAACTTACAACACCTTATATCCCACAATGAAATGGTGTAAGCAAGAGAAATATGAAATTATAATGGAGATGCAAAGATCTATGTTGCAGGAGAAGGAGTTCTCAAAATTGTGGCAAAGGATGAGACTACTAGTTTTTAGTTGGATAGGTAGCCAACCAGAGTTTTCAAAACCGAAAACCCATTTGAAGCCTGGTTTGGCTACAGACCAGATTTACAGTCTATTTTTTGTTGTTTTGTTTGCTTTTCTGATGTGCCATATGTTAAATGAGACAAACTTAATATAAAGGAAGAATATGTAGGAGCAAATGGTATAGTAAATCAAGCCATTTGGATCAGGAAAATACTAGCAAATATAAATATGAAGCAAAATTAGCCAACGCAGACTCATGCGGATGATCAAGTAGCAATCGGAATATCAAATGATTCTGTTTTCATGGAAAGACTGAGCATTACATGATCAATTTGTATTACTTAAGAGAAGAACAAAAGGTTGGGGAGATTAAATTCCTTTACTACAAAACTGAGGATCAAGCTATAAATATTTTAACCAAGGTTCCGCCAAATGTTAAATTAAAGCCTTCAGAAACAAGTTAGGCCTCTGCAACTGCTAAGAAAAGGAGGAGAGTGTTGGAAACGTTAGGGCTGCTGATGGTCACGGGACCAAATCTTAAGGAAATATTTTCTTTTATTGCTTGAAATTAGGAATCTGTTAGATATCTTGAGGAAATACTTTATTTGTTATTAGGAAACTGTCCACTATGACATGCGATTGGCAAATTATTTTTATTTTTTCTGAAACTTCAGCTTTATAAAAGGTGAGCAATGTAGTTAATACACATAATTCACTTGACTGAAAATTTGTTTTCTGTCTCTGCTTAGTTTCTGTTTTTGTTCTTGTATTGTACCAACAATGATTTACATAATACAAGTAACAGGAAAACACATACAATATTTCCAAATGTCTAAAATAGATACCCTATAACACACATGCACACTTTACCTCATCAAATCTAATAAGAGTAACAAACAAACGAATGTCTGCCTCAGTTAGGGTGTTGCCACATATATAGCGTTGCTTGCTTAGAATATTTTCACATTTGTCCAAAGCACCATACAATTGTCTTGCAGCCTGCAGAAATGAAGGACCAAATAAACAGTCGCAATCACCTGATCACAGCAGTTTTTAAACAAGTGCAAACATTAAAGTAGCAACTCTTGCTACAAAAAGGTTAAAAATAGCTTCATACCTCATTGTATGGTTCTTGCTGCTTGGCAAAACCACACTTATAAACACCATTATTGATACTATCGTATACCCACTCATTGGTATCATCAATTAGGGCTTTTAAATCAGCGGGATACAAGTCCAAGGAGGGGTTTTCTGCAACATTGTTGAATTCAGTATTAAACATGCGGATTATCTCTGAGCTCTCGTTGTTAACAATTGTCTTGAGTTTCTTATCCCACAACACCTGTACAGATCAAAATTTTGGAAACAAAATAAACATCAACCCAGCAAAGCAAATCATGAAAACCAAGAAAGAAGCCATTGTATCTTCATACAGGAACTGTGTACTTTGCAGTGTAGTCTGAACTTGCAATTTCATAAAGCTCCCTAATACTCCTTGCTCCATTCAACCTATCAGGTTCAGCTCCAGGGACCTCACTTTCTGAATCAGGAAAAATCCACCCCTTATACTCATCTGATTCTTTAGTTCTTTCAAAGATGGGTTTGACTGACTGATCATCATTGAACACGCAGGATATGAATCGCGTAATGAACTAAGCATGTATCTTTCTATATGAAAAACTCTCAGGATGAAGGCTACTAACTAACCGAGAAACTGATGGCTTTGTCAAGTCCTTTAATATTCAAGTAAGCAAGGCACCTGGAAGCCCAAGGGCAAGCATATGATACATAGAGATGATACCTCCCTGATTCCGGTGGAAATTGCGAATTCGGGTCCCTTGAAATCCAATTTCTGAAAGTGGAAGCAGATCTCACAAAAGCACCAGAGTCTGACACCTCATCCATTGAAGATCGTGCCATCCTAACTATATGCTAAGCAGAGAATATTTTACGAACCAATCACAAACAGCAACAAATCTTCAAAGCAAATAATGGAGCAGAACAAAATTTAGTTCAACAAGAAATTCGCTGTAGTTCGTGTATCATGCCACATGCAAATTCGTAAAGGATTCGAAACCCACAAACAAGCATACACCGTTGTAGAAACAATTATCTTGTTCAACAAACTAATTCCCTAATACTATGTAAAAAATTATTGGTAGACAAAATAAAGAACATAAAGCAAAGGCAGATAGTTTCATAAGAACGAACAATTTTGGCAGCACGAATTCCCACCATGGCTATTGCATACCTAAAATCAAGAGAGGAACAGAGAGGTCGGTTGGAGTGTAGCCTGAAGTAGAAGTAGTAGTCGTGTAACAAAAGTCAGAGATGGGAAAAAAAAGTGCTTTTGAGGCAAACCACTGATCAAAGAACATGTTATATTATAATTTATATTTAACTTCTTGAAATTTTAAATTTCCAAAAATATTATGACTATATTTTCAAAACTCATTAAAAATAGTGGCAATTAAATTAGTAATTATACGTATAAAATAAATAATTTCTGAAATATGATTCACATAAAAAATATTTTTAATTGAGGTATATAAATTTATTATAATACTGATACTTTTACGCTCGCCCCATAGTTTTACACTATTTAATCATAAATTTTATTGATAATCATTATAAAATTTAATAAATTAGTTGAATAATAATATAAAATGTATTTTAATATTAATAACTTTAAAACAAAAAATGATAATTGATGAGAAGCATATCTTATGGTAGACGTATTAAACAAAAAAAGTTTCCACGAAACAACCTTTCGGTTTGCTTTTGTTTTTTTCCTCTGGTAATAATATCGTAAAGTTCAATCAATTGTTTAAGTCACCCTCTTTTCTTAATTGTGATGTATTTTTATAGATATGTTTTAGAACTTAATTATGAAAAGTGTTTGAAAAAAATTTCAAATTTTAATACTAAAATATGTTAAACACACTTTTAGAAAATTAAAAAAATGTTTAATACAAAGTTAAATATATAGAAGAAATAATGCTATGTAATTACTAGAAAAAAATGGTGAAAAACGTAATATCTTTACAGGACATGGACAATTTTTTACAGTTATTTTGTTTCTTTGTGCTCACTTTTCTTAAGATGTGAAATGTCAAAACCACCTTTCTCTATTTCAACACTAAATATCTTTCACTTTTCCGGTTTTTAACATTTGAAAATTTGGGAAAATTGCACTTACTCCATATCGATTACACGTAATGACCCTATCACTTTTTTTATATTTTCAAAAGAAGTACTTGTTGGAATTGATCAAAATCTTGGTCGTATTGAATCATTATTGACAGTTAGGTCAAAAGAAGTTCACATAAGTGAAATTCAGAACATCGGTGGATTTGGTAAGATGCTCATTGGAAAACGGTAAGGGAAGAAAATGAAAAGCAAGGACTTCGATTATCTACCAAATACCGATCCAATCAGAATTAGGTGCACCACGAGTGCGTCACATTGCATACAGAGGCGGAATCAGGGGACCTGGGATGGGCACGATTTTTTTGTTTTTATGTATATACTTTAAAAAAAATTATTTTTTAAATATAAAAAATGCATTATTATATTTTTATTTTTATAAATAATAATAATAACTATTATTTTTATTTTTCCATACAATTTTTTATTTATATATTTTTTTCTCTTATTTTATTTTTTCCTTTTTTTATTATTTTTTTACTTATATTTCTCTTTCAAATTCTCGTATTATGATGTAAAAACTGCAAATTGTTTTCCTTTAAGTTTCACTTTCTTTTTTAAGTAAACAATTTTATTTTTACTTTTATTTACTATTATAACATATTATCTTATATATTATTTATTATCAATTAATTAGTTATTTTAATATTTTATAATGTTGAATTTTGATGTTAGAATATAAAAAAATAAATAAATTAATTTTTAAAAATATTTATGAAAAAAATTATATATTCAATTTTCTGAGAGAAAAGAAAAAATATATAATAAAATAAATTTTAACTTACTAAATTTAAATTTAATGGATAATACTAACAATATTATTAAACAATTTAATATAAAATATTATCAAATACATTTAAAATATATTTAATTTTATATATATATATATATATATATTTATGTTAATATACGATGATTTATAATTTTTAATAATTTTATATAATATATATTTTTATATATAAATAATTTTAATATATATTATATTCATTCCATCTCATCCAAAATTTATGATTCCCTGATAGCATGATAGATTAGACTCCTTTCTTCTTCGTGTGTTATATTTTATTGATTTATTTAAATTCTTATTTATTATTTTTCCTTTTTCATATATTTTTTTCTCTTTAATCATAATTTGTTTTTATGTAAGGACTACTTTTCTATTGCTCTCTAATTCTCATTCTTTTAAATATTGATCATTTAGTTTTTGTTTTTTTTTAATTCATTCACCTTATTGTTATTTACTTATTCTTTCTCTTATATTAAACTATTCATCAACTAATCATATTTAATTATTTTATTTATTAGTTTATTAAATCGAAATAATATTTTATTTATGATGATAAATAAATTTTCTTCTAATTCAAAATTTTAAAAATTAAATATGTTATTTCTAATAAATATTTAACGAATGATTTTCTTTTATGAACTTCTGTTAATTTATTACTTAAAAAATTAAAAGAAAGAGAAAATAATATATTATTTTATAATCTTTGTCAAACTTTTATTTAAGATTCCTTATTTTAGAATCAAAATTTACTGAAATTTTGTGAAACTATAATTTATGTAGACTTTAAATATTAATGATAAATATTTGGTTGAATTGAAATTGATTATTGAATTGCCATAAAATCTAAATAAGTTACATTTTCTAATGAAGATAGATATAACTCTTCATTGAAGAGGAGGAAAAAAATGGTATTTTAGAGAAGATTGAAAGCAATAAGGGGAAAATTGATGGTAATGTGAAATATGTCCATATATTTTTAAGAGATGATTTTGATAATGATTCAAGTTAACAACATTCAACAATCAAGCAAGCCCAAGATATGATTTTGATAAAAATTTAATTCAAACATCAAGCAAGCCCAAGATGATTCCTGAAGACTAGATAGAGTCTTAGAATACTAGATACGGAGGTACAAGTTGATGAAGTAATATTATGCATAAACCTCCAAAGCACAGGTGTGATAAAATTTCATAACATGACATTTTTCACTATCATAATTAATTATGATGTATCAGAAATAGAAAAATGATTTTCTCTATCATAATTGATTATATTGGTAACATAATCGATTATGACAGTTCAAATTTGAAAAGTATCCGTTTTGAAAAATAAATGTTTTTGAATACATCCTAATTTTTTCTCTACGAAAATATTAATGATCAACGACTATTTTTTTATGCTATTTTTTTATTTAATTAAGTTTTGATGGAAAATAAAAAACACATAATTACAGAATTCGAAAATACAATTTACATTCAATCAGTTTTGAAAAAAGAATTCTGAGCAAGACAACAGAGATATTTTACATGTTTTGAGAAAACCATCTTCTCCGTTGCCACAAAGATAATTTACCAAAATCCTCTTCACCATTGTCTATTGTGTTTTCATTGTTAATCACACTTGTTCTTGAAAGTTGACATCCTACAGACTTCTACAATTTGTTATCTCCATTACCCAGGCGTGACTGTTCTTATTTTATTACCTTCATCCTTTGTGGGCTTAAGTGTTTGATTGTTAAATTCCCTGTTTAGGGTTTAGATAGTCACTATCATTCTTTAAGGTTTCCTGTGTGGAAACTGTTCATCTCTTTGATTTGTTCAGAGAAGTGTTTTCATCCTTTGATTTGTTCAGAGGAGGTGTTCATCTTTAGTGGGATTCTAGGGAGGTATTCATCCTTAGTGGGATTCTAAAGAGGTGTGTTTATCCTTTGATTTGTTCAGATGAGGTGTTCATCCCTAGTGAGATTCTAGGGAGGTGTTCATCCTTAGTGGGTTTCTAAGGAGATGATTGTCTTTTGAAGTAGTTTACTTTTTTTTTTAGTTGATTGTAATTTGTGAGTTGAATTTAAAAGATAGTGAATTTGGGTTACTCTTGTGTTAAGAGTTGACTGGGAACTGGATGTAAGGTTGACTATACCCGAACCAGTATAAACCATTGTGTACTATTCTCTTTCCCTTATCTCTTTTTCATTGCATTACTCTCCTTACGCCCCTTATCTCTATCTTCTTGATATTTTATCTCTTTGGTTATATGCTTTATCTTTATTCAATTTGATAATTAAAATTGAATTAATAAATATTGGACATCTTAAAATAAATTTTTAATTTGACATCTATTTTAATTTATACATTTATTCACTCTCCTCTAGATGTCATTTGTCTAACAAAGATATTCAACTTAGAAGATAGATACAAATTCAAAGCTCATATCAAAGTGCGGAAAACTTTGCAAGAAGATTTATTATGTAAAACAATTTAAATATAATGTATTAAATTATAATATTTTTTGCATTTTAAATATTTTATAATAAAATATTTTTTTATTAAAACAAAATTTATTATTATTAAAAAATTGTAAGAATTAAAAAAATAATTAATAATTAAATAAATAATAAACAAAAGGGGAAGAAGATAAAAATTTTATCTCTTAACAAAAGAGATAAGCATGTATTATAAAAAAATAAAAAGTAAATAAAAATTTTAAATATAAAGTAGAGTTACTAGAGTTGAAAAGGGAGAAAGAGAGAAAAAGGAAGAAATACTCTTGCTCAAATTCTATAAAAGAAAATATTTATCATTTTATTAATTTTATTAATATGGTTGACTCTTAACCTTATTCAATTTATTTTATTTATTTATTTTTAATTATGTATTAATTCTACTTTATATTTATTTATTTATTTTATATTTAGTTACACACTAATTCT